AATAAAAAGTTTGGGCCAAAATAAATAATACGGACATCCTTAATTATGTGACAAGAGGAGAATACCCTCCTAATACTGATAAAAGGGCACGCCGTGCTTTGAGGCTCCTGGCCTCACAGTATGTGCTCATCAGGAGAGAACTCCACAAGAGAACTGCAATGGGAAGAAATCTCTTATGCATAGCCAAGAAAGAAGCACATAAAACCATGGAAAACCTTCATGTTGGTATATGTGGAACACACATGAATGCAAAGATGTTAGTCCAAAAGATTCAACGACAAGGTTACTATTGGACTACTGTGGAGAGAGATTGTCACAAATACGTCAAGAAATGTATGAAGTGTCAAGTCTATGCAAACTTACAACATGTTCCACCTTCACTTCTCTACACGTATACTTCTCCATGGCCTTTCTCCACTTGGGGCATTGACATCATTGGAAAAATAACACCACCAGGACAAGGGGGGCATGAATTCATTCTCGTAGCAATCGACTACTTCACCAAATGGGTCGAAGCTGCCTCATATGCCAAGCTGACGGCAAAACACATAGCTCAATTCATTGAGAAAAATATCATATGCCGCTATGGGGTACCACATGAGATGATCAGTGATAATAGAACACATTTCCAAGCTGAATGCACGGAATTATTACAGAAATATCATATCAAGCATCACCGATCATCACCTTACAGACCACAAACAAAAGGAGCAGTCGAATCGGCCAACAAAAATGTGAAAACTATCATCGAAAAGATGACAGAAAATTACAAGGATTGGCCAAGTAAGCTACATTTCGCCCTTTGGGGTTATCGAAGCTCTGTTCGTACATCAACAGGGGCTACCCCTTTCTCTTTGGTCTATGGAGTTGAAGCTGTACAACCAATCGAGCTCGAAATCCCTTCTCTTCGAATCGCATTGGAAAGCCAACTAGATGAAGTCGACTGGATTAGAGCAAGATACGACGAACTGGTCTTGCTTGATGAAAAACGCTTGGAAGCTTTGCATCATGTCCAAACCTACCAACAGTGTATGGCACGACATTTTAATAAGAAAGTCAAGACCAGAAATATCAAAGAGGGTGACCTAGTGCTTAAGGCACTTCGTAAAAATGTGTTAGATCCAAGAAGAAAATTCAGACCGAACTGATCAGGCCCGTACATTGTTAAAGCCATCCTGTCTGGCAGAGCGGTACAATTGGTAGACAAGGACGGTAACAGCTTCCATAATTTAACCAACTTGGATCAACTCAAGAAATTCTATGCCTAGTCACATGGCTTCATGACCCAATAGAGCTACGTTTGGCCTGATTCCTTTTTAGGATACGTAGGCAACCCCTCAAGGGGGCCTGGCCACTTTAAAATAAAAAAATTCTCCCTCTGTTGATCAAATATGCGCGTCAGTTCAGCATTGCGTCACGACCAAAAAAAAAGGAAAATTGTCGCGACACGGGACATCCCACCGTGTCACGGTACTGTTCACCGTGACACGGTGGGCCTGAACAAAAAAAAGGGAAGGGAAATTCCCGTGACACGGGATTTTATCCCGTCTAACGGGAGAAGTTCCCGTGCCACGTCACCTTTTGTCGGCAAAAAAAAAAAAGGAAAATTGTCGTGACGCGGGAATTTGTACCGTGTCACGGGACCCTTTCACCGTGACACGGTGGAATTTCAATTTTCCGTTTTGTTTTTAGAATAGTGGCGCATTCGTTGCGGATTCATTGTTCGAGTTTTTATTTTCGTTCTTCCACTGCGTCCGACTCCTTGACTCGGATACATAAATAATAAATAAATAATAAATAAAAGTCATTGTAATTTTTATTTTTAAGGCTGAAATAAATGTGCTATTATTATTAAAATAAATGCGACTACAAGTATTGGCATCATATGCCTTAATTTAAATAAAAATTAAATCATAAAAAGCAAAGCACTATTGATCTAATCTCTCTTCTCTTTAGGAACTTCATTCTCTTGGTCAATTAGGTCAGCCTTCACCATTAATGTGTCTTTCGTAGCCTGAACTGTCACACCCCTAGTCGAACTTTCACCCCTTTCACCTTTCTTGAATTTTTTCGGTTGTTTCTCCCTATAAACCATCTTTTCTTTACCCTTCCCTTTCATATAATTCTTCTTTCTTGGCATTATAGGAGTCTTAAACTCAATCCCTTGTGTTCTCGGACCCTGACGATCTTTAGGAGGAGCTTTCTTATTTCCAAGACGACTCTTCACATCAGCCTTGCGTGATCCGAATCGTTCCCTCCTACTTCGAGGGTTCAACCATGCCTTGTATGCACTAGATAAAGGAGGAGGATCTTGGTCACTTGCAGAAACGGTCCACAAAGGTCTTCCAATCCAATAAGCCTCGTACTTGTGAACGTTACTTTCACGCAACGATACTTCACGAGGACTATCGTTATAGCGTGGAATTACTTGTTCAAGTCCATACTGCCGCATCAGTCGAGAGGGACAATAAAAGGTCAGTTTGGAGATACTAGGAATACGGCAATATGGAGTTTCATTCGTGCCAACCATCCTAGTAAGCCTCCACCAAGGCACCACCCAACGAATGGAAAATTCCCTCTTTGCAAAGAAATTTTTCCAATCTTCATACGACATGTTCGCAGAGTAATTCTTTTTCCTGCGGACTAGGTCGTTAGGGCCATATTTTTCAACATCGTCGGGGGCTTCGAATAGTTCCAAACGCTCCATCAACCAAATCTGCAAAAAAAAAAAAAAAAAAAAAAAAAAAAAAAAAAAAAAGTGTAAAATATTCCTGTGACACGAGATTTCATCCCGTCTGACGGGAGAAGTTCCCGTGTCACGCCAGCAAAAAAAAAAAATTATCAGCAGATTCCCGTGACACAGCAGGTTTTGCCGAGTCACGGCAGACACCCACCGTGACACGGTGCCTGTTTTGTGGCACGGGGGATACTCAGAGCGTATTTTTACCTGCAGTAGTAACAGAGAGCCCTTCCTGATGGCTTTCCGTTCAGCTTTTGCCTCGTCAAGGCCACGAAATGTCTCTCCAAGGCACGTCGGCATAGGAGATCTTCCAGATTCGACATGTTCAAGCACAGACGCTAGACAAGCATGTCCTACCCTACCGTTTGCAAATAAGAGCTTGCTAAACATGCAAAAAATATATGCCCTTCTACGATATACATGATAAGACTCGGAGATGGGGCGATTAAAATATAAATTAGCAAGTTTTTCTAAGTCTACTTCATTACCACAAACAATTCTATTCAAATCTGGATCTGTTAGATTCAGATGGCGTTCAAAATCTTGGTAATAATATTCACGTAGGGTAGGCATGGCAATAAGATTTCTAGCAGGAAATCCAAAGATTGCGCCGAATTCCTCCGGCAAGGGACAAATTTCATCATAATCAAATTTGAAACAGTGTGTTTCTGGACTCCAATAATCTAATGCTTCCCTTAGAAAATCATGTTCAATAGCTACGTGTTGCAGGGCTAGCAAACCCCTGACATGAAATAATTCTAACTCTCTTTTTTCAGCATTGGTCAAAGAATAAGACCAGTCGCGCAATGTATTATCAAAACTCTGAGACATGATTATTGAAATATGAAATTCTAAATTATTTTTTGTTTCGTAATTATGCATATCATGAATAAACTGGTCTTATTTTATAGCAAAAGCGCTCGAAACTGCACAGAATTTATCTTTTCATACGCGTAAAACACACCGCTGAGTAATATGCGTCCCGTGACACGGGAAGTTCCACTGTGTCACGGGAACTTTTGCCGTGACACGGTACACAGTGCCGTGTCATGGCACTTCACGCGTTTTCTTTTTTCATCTTTTCCCGTATATATCTGGATTTTTATAGTATTTTATCTTCACCGTCTATTTTTCAGTTTTTCTGAGAGTTTTATTTCTAATAAAATTCTCACTTTTTTTTTATCTATATTCTTGTTATTATTATTATCTTTATTTTATATAGTTATTTATTTATTCATCACTTTAAGATTTTATTTCTTCATCACTTTATTTATTTTTTGTCTTTTTTATTTCTTTTTCTTTTGGGGAAGGTAATTTTATTTTGCTTGTCTTTTTATTTCTTTTTCTTTTGGGGAAGGTCGGTACCCTCCATTACTCCACTTATGTTTTTTTTTTCGTCACTAATAAATACACAATCACACACAAGGAGTCTTAAACACACACTAACACACAATAATAAATACATAAAATGTGAATAATGTACAAAAGAGTCGTAATAAATAAACATGTCCAGTGTCACCATAGTATGTACAAATAAAAACCCTCGGTCAAAAGTCTCTAGAACCAGAATCAGTATCATCTCCACCCTGCTCATATGAGAACGGTGAGCCGAAGAGTCCCTCCACCATCCGAGTACGGGGAGTAGTGTCCCTACTAGTCCATGTAACCCCAGCAGTAGTCAAGCTCAAGGCAGGACCCGTCCAGCCGGAAAACGGTGTAGACTGGCCCAAAGACACTGGAATCGTCGGTGAAGGCATCGTCCCATACATCGGAACTGAGAACAAGCCCGACACCAGTGGAGGAATCCCTGACAATGGAGCTGAAAATGAACCAGGATCCAAGGGAGTCAAAACAGACCCAAGCTCAGGCTGTGGAGGCTGTGAAAATAATTGACGCAGCCCCTGACTCTGGCCCGGAAAGCGCTGAGAAGACTGAGACTGCTGCCACTGAGCCTCCTGAAATGGCTGAGTAACCTGAGGCTCTCGCTGAGAATGAGAACGTCGGTGAATCTCAGGAGATCGTCTACCACGACCAAGCTCCTCCTCGTCCGAGCCTCTGTGCCTCGAGCGCGAGCGGGACCTCTGTTGCTCCTGAAAGAGACAAAACCAAAAGGTGTCAACAATGCAAAATAAAACAAATGGTAGAAATAAAAATGAATGATACCTCAAGAACGTCGCTAGAGCTTCGACAACTCGCACCACGCCGAAGTTTGATGATGCAATACTTTAGGGCGTCAACCAGCTTCATGAGTCCCATCATCTCCGGACGGTTAGGCTGAGGATAAAACAAAGAAAAGTCAGTAACAAACAGTGTTAAAAGGATGAATAATGCAACCAAGAAAACTCACCAGCTCAAAGACCTCGGGCAGAGACTCCTGCGCCTGTCTGTAACCCTCTGGCGCGTCAGCAATATGGTCCTCTGTGATACCAATTGGCCCTGGATAGTGAACAGACTGAGGAGGAATCTCGATCCTCCCCACAGGGCGAATAGTCGTCTGAAAATATGATCGAATAATCAAGTTATTCGACTATTTAAAACAGAGATTAATAAAGAAGATCCTCAAAAGAAATCATACCTCAGGAAGACGAGGTGGAGTTGCCAGAGAGGGAAGCAAATCCCGCGCATAGTCACTCTCCATGTGTACAAGCTCCTGCCATGGAAAAGTATAGCGCTCTCCCCTGTTGACCAACTCTCTGATCAAGCGTGAGTTCAGCATCGATTCTGGTGGAGATGAGGGCACCACAAAACGATCGCCGCTATGCTGACGAACGACTCGCTCCCCTAAATACCAGACAAAGAGTTCGGTACCAACCAAAATGGTGCGGTGCGCAGAAAGACGCAAGGCCTCAGGTAGATCAGTCATCCCGGCCCAAGGACGATATTGGACATCAATGGCAACCTGAAAACCATAAAAAGTCGGCGTGAAACAACAGAAACAATGTCAGAGGGAAAATAACAGCAACAAAACTGATTCTTACGCCGACAGAAGAGGTGCCTTGGCGTAGCAGCCCACGCAGTGCAGGGACAGACTCCACCCGCGACTCTCCTCGATCACGCCAGCTGGCCCCGACAGGGAAATCATGGACCGCTCCACGACGTCGGCAAGGAGCCAAGCCTGGGAAGTACTCGTAGAACCATAGCTGCGATGAAAAGTAATCTTTAGCACATGAGTCGAACAAGTTAAAGTGAAACAAAAAGGGAAAAGATCATCACCTCTACGACTCTCCACAGACCATAGACGGTGATGGGAGACTCGTCATTCAGCTGCCGACAGCCATGACGTAGCGATAAAAGGAGATCGGCGTATCCAAGGTTGGCCCAGCTATAGGATCCTATCTCATGGATCCTGACCAGAGCGGGGAGGTAGCAAAGGAGTACACGTGAGCTCCTATCGGGAGAAAGGGTCATAGAAATCAGGATCAGGATGAAAATTCGCACTCGCTGCTCAGCCGTCGTATCCTCCATGTCGAAGCCACGAGCTAAAACTGAAGCCAGCTCTGATCGTCCGCTCCTAGGACCATCTCGAGACACTGGTCGGGACCTGATGTACTGAACGATCGGACCCAACAAATCAGCTGTCTCAGCCGATCCCCAAGACAGATCAGACATCTGAGCTACAGCCCGGTCGGTGAAGCGCAACCCGCTGATCATACTGAAGTCTAGGGGGGTCACCGTCATCTCCCCCCAAACAAAATGAAAAGTGTTGGTAGTATCCCAGAACTACTCCAACAATGCGCGAACGACCGTCGCACCACAACCCCGGGGGCTGCGAAACCCTACAACCGCCGTATAGAAATCTACTAAACCAGCCGATTCCCATAGGGCGCTCGTAGCAGGATCCCTCGTAATGATCCGGTGAAGTCGAGGGATCAAATCGCTGGCTCCAGAACCGTGGTGGCGAAGCGTGCCATCGACTATGCCGGAGAGTGAGCGATGAGAGACATGGTTTTCACGGCAGAAAACCAACTGGTCTAGAGTCCACGGAGGTGGAACCCACCTACCTCTACTCGCGGATGCCCGAGGCTCGGGCTCTAAAGCATCGTCGTCCATACCCTGAGGAATGGTGGGAGTGTCCTCCCGAAAAGCCCGACGTCGGCCGAGGGTAGAAAGATCGCAATCTCGTTGCCTAGGCATGCTATTATAAAAATCTAAATAATTAGCATCATTTCCTAAGTTATTTAGTTATTTATTGAATTATACGCTAAATTTTTACCTCCAGGCTAAAAATTGGCAAAATTATGGTATTTAGTTTCTCCATGACAAACTAATACTACAGTTCTCCTAGCCGCATGATACTATGTTCTCCATGACGATATAGTACATACGCAAAATATGTTTCGAAGTTGCACAAAAACAATGAATCAACACATCATGAAACACTTCACCACCGTTTTTTTCACCATTTCAAGTACAAAAGAAATAACATGAACATCATTTCACAAAGTAGTACCCAAAAATGGTGATTTACTCAATTCTCCATCAAATCATGTAATTTTTGTCTCAAATTTCTCACAAACACACATACATACATATACAAGTAAAATCATGGCAAGAATTTCAACATAAAACCTCAAAATCAAAAATCCCCAAATTGATTTTTAAGGGTTTTTCATGAAATTACTTATGTGAAGCAAAATTCAAGACAAAAATCAAAGGAAACTTACATGAATGCTCGTAGAGGGTCGAAAGTGAGGAAGATAGCAAGAAATTACAGCAAAATTGGTGAAAATTCGAACTCCAAAAGCTCGAAAAAAGCTCCGGCCACCAACAGAACGCCGCGACACGGTCAGCAGAATCCGTGACACGGCGAGGCTGTCCCGTGTCACGGTAAGCTCAAAAGGCGACGGAGCTCCAGTGACCCTGACGGCAGCTCCGGAGGAAGACAGCAACAACAACAGCAAAAATTAGCAGCAGCAACCCGCAGCAAAAAGCAAGAAAATTTAAAAAAAAAAAAAAAAAAAAAAAAAAAAAAAAAAAAAAAAAAAAGAGGAGAGAGAGAGAATGCAGGAAGGTCGCGACACGGTGGTGGAAACTGGCCGACGGGAAGACAAACCGCGCACCGGTGAGCACTCGACGAGACACGGCAACCCAAGGAAAATTTTTGAACTTTTTGGAGTGAGAATCAGATGAGAAATGGCGAAATGGTGAAGCAAAAACGTGAGTTTAAAGCAAAAAAGTAGCTGTTGCAAACCCCGTTCACCGTGCCACGGTTACCGTTATTGTGTAACGGTACACTGCCGACGTGGCACGCTGATTCACGTTGACCAATTAAACAACAAAAAAAAAAGGCAGAAAAAAAATATATTCCCGTGACACGAGATTTTGTCCCGTCTGACGGGAGGAGTTCCCGTGTCACGGCAAAGTGGTGACGTGGCACGGCAGACTTTGTGCATTGTCAGCGAATATTCCTGACATTTTTGACCAGTTTGAATATTTTTTTCGAGTTTATTGGGCGATTATTTTTCTCTAGAATTACGCGGAAAATTCTAACTGATATTTAAGGGGGACTAAAATTACCATTTTACCCCTAGCAAACATCAAAGTCTACTTTTCGGCATTTTAAGCACTTAATATGGTCGGATAATCGGCTTAAAATTGTGAAACATCTGCGGCCCACGTTCGGGGATAATCGAACCATCATAGACTTACAAATTTCAGCAATCGTCGGCTTTCCTCAGGCTTGGAAAGCGTTATCGGTGGATTTTTCTTCAAGTATAGAAAATCGCCAAGTCGGCTTTCCTCGGGCTTGGAAAGCGTTATCAGTGGATTTTTTTCTTCAAGTATAGCAAACCGCCAAGTTGGCTTTCCTCAGGCTTGGAAAGCGTTATCGGTGGATTTTTCTTCAAGTATAGAAAATCGCCAAGTCGGCTTTCCTCAGGCTTGGAAAGCGTTATCGGTGGATTTTTCTTCAAGTATAGAAAACCGCCAAGTAGTCGGCTTTCCTTAAGCATGGAAGGCATTATCGGTAGAATTCTTCAAGCATAGAATGACACCAAATTCATACGTCGACTTTCCTCAAGCATGGAAAGTGTCATCGGTAGGTTTCTTCAGGCTTAGAAAGCTACCAAACTCATCTTCCGGCTTTCCTCAAGCATGGAAAGCATTTCAACAAACGTCATCCAGTGGATTCCTTCAAGCATAGGAAGCTACCAAACTCGTTTGTCACCGATACACTGGTGGCAAATACACATTCTATCCCTTTACTCTTTTATCTGTAGAACTAACATTTTTCTTCAGGTATCGGCATATACAGAGTGATTTAAGATCGCAGAACGTCTTAAATCATTCTCCGTCCCTATCGGCTACTTTGACTATCGTTTTCGAAACTGACGTTTCCACAAACTCAGTCAAAGTGGGGGCTTCTGTAGACACCTAAAAATGTCTCCCCAAAACCAAATCCGATGATGAACAACCTTTCACCGCCACTATTGGTCGGGTTCAGTATTTAATCCCGAGAGTGCTTAAAAAATCGTGTTTTATTAAATTCATATTTTTGAACAATCCATGGATTACTCTTGATGTTTGGTAAAAACATAGTTTTAATTTTAGCCCAAACTTATTAATTAATTTTCAGCCCAAACCTTTTTTATTTTATTGTTTTATTATTTATTTTTGGCCCAAACCTTTTATTTATTTTTATTTAATTATTTTCTTATTTTAGCCCGAATAATAAAAGTCAGAAAAGGCCCGAAATTATCAATCGGCACTTAAAAAAGCCGAAGGAAATTAGGGTTAAAAATGTATTTAGACGGAAAATGGACTGGAAATTCCCGCGCCACGGCAGACTGCCACCGTGTCACGGGAATCCTTCCCGTCTGACAGTGGGACTTCCCGTGACACGGGAGGTTTGCCGTGACACGGGACATTCCGTGTCTTTTCCGCGTAAACCCTTGACGCGTTTTCTATCCTGTTTTCTGAAAATTTCCCGCGTCACGCCAAAAGTGTACCGTGTCACGGGAATGTGTACCGTCTGACGGTGGGGCTTCCCGTATCATGGTACAGTTTGACCGTGTCACGGGATACTTTTTTAGGGTTTTTATCATTTTAGGGTTCCGTGTGCTCCCTCAGTACATTTTCCCTATAAATACCCCATCATTTCTGATGAATAGGGGCACGGGGTAATTCTCTTATTTTATTTTCTCTCTTCTATGCTTTAGCCTAAACACTAGCGTACCCTTTTCACTTCAAAATTCCTTCTTCAAGCACTCAAAAGAGTCCATATTTTACTCGAGGTTCTGTCCTTAAGCCAAGGCGTGAAAGGTAGAACTGTTTGAGGGTTTGGCCTCAAAATCAACTTTATTTTATTTAATTTAATTTAATCATCGTTTTATTATTTCCTTGAAGTTACTAACTCGTTTATTATTTTGTAGTTGCAAACAAACAGAATCAAAGTAAGGATCATGCTCCTTTTGTTTTTATTATTTTTCTAACGATTTTATGTTGTTGGAATTGTGATTAAATTAGTTCCAATATTAATATTGTTCTATTATTATTATTGATCACAATATTGCATGTTTAAAGGGAATATGTAATTGAAAATCACGCCTAATAAGATAATTTGGACAACCGGTTTAGGTTCCTTTTTAATCTTATTGTTTAATCAAGTGATCACAATATTTTAGAATTATGTGTTGCATTAATATTCAACCAATTTAGCTTAATAATAGTTTGGAGCAAATTGAATATTTTGTTTGTATGCCTTTGAGATCGCAGGAATCACTTCTCACTATAAGAATCGAGTAGAGGCCAATACGGGCGAATGTGACTCCATGACTCACTTCGTACCATCATCCCCGATTCTCATTTCGTGGTTCCGAACCATATGGAGTTAGTAATCTCATGGATTATGAATGGGGTGTAACCTTCACGGGTCAATCGTTGTTGCCTATCGTTGTCCCTTATCGTGGTTGCCTTTTTATGATCCGTGAACGGTTTACAAGTTCCTTAAAAACTTGTTGGCGGCTCCCTACTTTCCTTGTCCCTAATCATAATGTCAATTCCCACTTCCTATGAGTGCCAAGCATATTCACCACATGCTTTAACGTAGGCGCACTTTAAACGACGCCTACAATAATAAAGCTTCATTGATTAAGAAACTTGTTAATTTGAAATTTAAGGGTTGAAAGTCAGTTTATGAGCAAGTTAATGACTTCCAAGATATTATTAACAAGTTAACTACTATGAAGATTGTTCTTGATGATGAAATGCAGGTTTTGCTCTTATTGAGTTCTTTGCCAGATAGTTGAGAAACTTTGGTTGTGATTATTTGTAACACTGCTCCAAAAGGTATGATTTCATTAGATATGATCAAGGAGATCGAGCATGTTCAATGAAGAAATCAGAAGAAAGGTGTAATGATAACTTGTTATTTGATATGATTTTAGAGTAATTTCGAACCTTGTTTACTTGGTATATTGGCATTTTGGTTCACTTTTACTCTATTTTTGTTCAACTTTTGTGTATCCCTTGCTTCACGGGCTGTTAGTGTTTTTGTTGAGTTTTTAGGTTCAAAGACGGCCATTTGAGGCATATGGATGATAAACCGAGGTTAGAAGCCGAGAAAATGAAACAAAACCGAAGAAAAGTGAAGATAAAAGTCTTGGAGAGTCTGCACGGACGTGCAAAGTAAGGCACGTCTGTGCAGGAGTGCCCCAGCACGACCAGAAGCTACTGCCTACTGCTTTCATGACCTGCATGTCCGCGCAGAGTTCAGCATGTCCGTGCAG